TTTGACTCAGGGTTGCCAGTCATATGACTTTGACTCAGGGTTGCCAGTTATACGACTTTGACTCAGGGCTGCCAGTCATATGAGTTTGACTCAGGGCTGCCAGACATATGACTTTGACTCAGGGTTGCCAGTCATATGACTTTGACTCAGGGTTGCCAGTCATATGACTTTTGACTCAGGGTTGCCAGTCATATGACTTTGACTCAGGGCTGCCAGTCATATGAGTTTGACTCAGGGTTGCCAGTCATATGACTTTGACTCAGGGTTGCCAGTCATACGACTTTGACTCAGGGCTGCCAGTCATATGAGTTTGACTCAGGGCTGCGAGTCATATGACTTTGACTCAATGCTTCCAGTCATATGACTTTGACTCAGGGCTGCCAAACATCCGTAAATGTTTCGTACAGTCCTTAAATTTTGTTTTGACCCCAACATGTTCGACCAACTGCAGGTTTAGTTGTTTTTTTTTCTTGAAAGTGGGTGGCAAACATTTTGAGCCGTTCAGTGTGGCTAACAAATTTGGATAGAATGTATTGTCGTCGGCAACGAGTCTATCTGCCGAGCTTCAGCTCAATAGGTTGACGGGACGTGGGTCAATTATCCTTCCGAAGATTTTGCCAGCCACGAACAAAAAGCGAAGATAATTTATATAAAGGATTTTTATTGTTTAAGTTGTCAAGATTTTGAATATCTGTCCGTAATTGTTATTGAGGTTTAAGATTACGACTCCGGGTATACGGCGTTGAAATCTTCCGATCAGACTCCACAAACGGTTCATGTCAGGTTATTCAGTCTACCGTTTAAGTCATTTATGAATGCACTGTAAATCTAATGGCATCAGATGTACACTCTACACCGGGTGGTCGGCAATATATGACACGCGTGCCAGGCTGGGCGAGCAGAGCGATTTGTCTCTGGCACACGTAGGACCAACCTAGAAAGAATTCATTGCTGCTATTTAAAAGAAAAACAAGATTCTCACAAGAAAGGCGTATAGGTTGTAATAGGTTGTTACAGGTTGTCGCCATCCTGCATGACTGGAGCTCCTAATTTGACACGGTATCACCAAAAGGTTGGAGACCGACCATGCTCCATACTTAGCGAAAAGAGCGAAGTACTTCAATCGTCCTACAGTAAGCACGTCACGCTTGAGATAACATAAGATACGCGTGCACGACCTATTACAAGCCGCAGATAATATAGATGACTCTATTTACCCCGCAGATAATATAGATGACTCTATTTACCCCGCAGATAATATAGATGACTCTATTTACCCCGCAGATAATATAGATGACTCTATTTACCCCGCAGATAATATAGATGACTCTATTTACCACGCAGATAATATAGATGACTCTATTTACCCCGCAGATAATATAGATGACTCTATTTACCCAGCAGATAATATAGATGACTCTATTTACCCCCGCAGATAATATAGATGACTCTATTTACCCCCGCAGATAATATAGATGACTCTATTTACCCCGCAGATAATATAGATGACTCTATTTACCCCGCAGATAATATAGATGACTCTATTTACCACGCAGATAATATAGATGACTCTATTTACCCCGCAAATAATATAGATGACTCTATTTACCCGGTACACTCAGCACACCGAATGTACATTGCACACCAGTCGACTTTTAGACACCCCTCCCTCCACAAAACGCCCCTTTCATGTTCTTGATATGTTGAGAGATAGAACTATGTGAACATAGATCAAAACTTGATTGTGGAGCAATATGCGCACCTGTCAACGCAACCCAAAGAGATCACTACCCTAGTAATAATGGGGTATAATGGGATTAAGGTCATCCGACCTGTAAATTGGGGAGTGGGGGGGGGGTTGCGTACGAAAAAAAAAAGGGGGGGGGGGGTTATGGTGGCTAGATTCACATGGGAGTTTATTTCGGGGTCATAGTCGGAAAAAAAGATTAAAAAACCGACGAAACAAAAATAAATTAAATTAAAATTAAAAATATGCATTTTTTCCACTTCTTGCAAAAGAGTTTCTAACACAGATGAGTTAAAACGCACTAAAAGGGAGACAATCCGTTACAATAGCTCAAAATGTATAACACAAAGAGAGATTGGATAATAGCGTGGATGCACACTCTATGTAGCCAAAGATTCTAATTTAATTTAGGTAACCCTGAATTCCACTGATCACCAAATCAATACAGAATCCGCTGAACTCTGAAACTTTACATTTTTTAATGAAATCAATCAGAATCACAGAGTTCACGTGACTTTCTAACTCCACAACACACTTCAATGCAGCTGATTGTCTATTTGTTACTTTGTTAATTTTTTTCCTGTTGTTTTTTCGCCGAAGAAGGCTTTTTGCCGACACGTTCGTTGTTGAGTTGCGTCCTTTTTTTCACGATTTCCCATTCGTTGTTCCCGCTCATCTCCTTTCAAACTCCACACCAGCTGTATAACTGCCACGCTAAATTAGTTTGACCGCATTCACCATGCTCGACGATTAGGATATATGGGACGGCGTCGCGCCCTTGACCTTCCAACACATCTGCTTGACCAAGAACTTCCTGCAGCTGCTCCTGAAATCCCTGGTCCCAACCGTGTACACCAGGGGATTGAGTATCGAGTTCGTCATGCCCAGCAACAGCAGATGCGTCCCTATGACGTCCTTCAGCCAGCACGGCGCCCCGTCCAACGCTATGTCGACGATGGACGCGAGGATGAACGGCGACCACGTGACGAGCAGACACCCGACCAGGACCACGAGCTGGCGGATGCAGCGCCATCCTTTGGAGGACACGCCGAGGGGCCAGGATCCCGACCTGACGTGATGGAGCGCGTTGAGGGATTCGATCTTCCGGATGTGCAGCCTGGCCTTGTTGAACAGGTACAGGTAGATGATGAGGATGACGCAGATGGGAATCAGGGACCCGACTAGGATGAACACAATGTAGCTGGTCTCGAGGACGTACGCAAACGAGCAGTGGCTGGAGTAGTGGTAGTGGGTCCACCCCGCTAAGGGCGCCACGCCTATCAGCAGGCACGCGGCGACGGTGACCACGATCGCGATGGTCACGACCCGTGACGTCATCAACGTGACGTAGGTCAGCGCGCGCGTGATCGCCAGGAACCTGTCGACGGCGATGAGGAGCAGAAAGATGATGGAGGAGACTATGGCAGCCAGGAGCAGACCGAGACGCAGCAGGCAAAGGTCAAGGCTGGTCTCGTACGTGCTGGTCACGTTGGTACCAATGGAGCTGGCGCCGACGAGAAGGTCCGAGATGTACAACGCGGCGGTGAACCAGTTTCCGGGATGGCGGAACCGGCCGGATCTTGCCAAATGGACAATGACGACGATGTTGGTGGCGAAGATGAGCACGACGACGGGTATCATGACGATGTGGTTGATCTCCTCGTGGATGCTCTCGGCACCCCCCTCGCACGAGGAATTGTCTTGATGCGACGCGTGGACAAAGGCGCCGTCTGCCGTGCTGTCGGTGGCGTCACAGAGCCCCCCGCAGATGACGTCAGAGGCCTTGCTCGGCGCAGGAGTGGCCGTGTGCGGTCTCTTGGTGTTTCCGCTGTCATTGAAGAATGCCGGGAGGCTGTGAGGCGAGTCACTGAGAACTATACACATGATACACTGAGTGACGTTAACACGCCTAGGAAAGAAACATACGTGTCAGCACGCTCAGATGGAGTGTGTTAAAAACAACGTCATTGTTAACTTTTCAGTCACAAACAATTGTCCTTGATGAAACACTTCGCTTTGTTCAATAGCCATGCTCAAAACTGTCAAATTATTCCCCTTTTTTTCTTTCTTTGAATTTCTCTCCCCCTAACGTTATGAAAAGCAGTTTGCCATTTATTTGTTGCTGAATTTCTCACAAGCATCGGCGGTTTTGAAGGTGTCTAAAACTTGATCTTGCCATCAAAATTTCTTGATTGAAGTTTTTTTTTAAAGTTGAACATATCAATGAATATTGCTGAAACAAAAATAAAATTCCCACCGATGAATACGTTAGACAAAAAAAAAAAAAAAAAAAAAAAAAAAGGTGTATCTAGATAACTGACTTGCTGAACTTTTCGAATTCCGAACTAGTTATATGTTATATGTTTCTCACCTACCAGCATCCAATAAACATATCCACACCATTGGGAACCATCTAACTTATAACAACGGTGTCATCAGTTAAGACCGCGAGATGTGGCGTGTATTTGTGGCGTGTATTTGTGGCGTGTATTATTCAAATCTTTTCCTGCTTGTCTCCAAACATTAAATTCAACCAAAACAACACTTGTAAAACGAGACTTCTGATTGGCTGGCAGGGGGGTCACCTGACCAGTTTTTATTGGATAATTGCGCTCTAACTACTGTAGTAAATGTGGGGAATGTCTTCAAGAGCGTCTGCAATACTCTTCATAGGTCAATGACATTGTCTTAACCCCCTTCCCGCGAATACCCTCAGAGAAAACGAAACTGTTGCAATCAGGGCTAAATTTAGAACATCAAGAATGACTACTCCGGTCGTAAATCAGAGATATTTTATTGGCCATGTGTTTTTCGTAACGTGGTCGGCAGCCATCTTGGAATTATTTTAGTGTTATTGCCGGGAGGAAATAGATGTGTGGTGGGTAAATAAAATTTGCATGTTGGTAACAGAGCAATGAATCGCTTAATTTGAGTGTCTCTCGCAAATATTGACACTATTAGGCGTAGAATATAAATGAGTCGCTCCATTTATTGAGTGAAGGGTTATGCCAATTTTGACATTGACTTAGGTTCTGTTGTAAAAAAAGGTGAATTAGAATTGAAAGATAATGGACGAAATATGTTACATAGGTGAGACGTTAAAAAGACTAATAGATTCAGTGAACATCTCAGTGATATTGAACAAAACAAGCCATCATCGGTCTCATGCCATTTCAACGGAAGTGAACAGTGGGGCACATCAGATGTATTCATCACCGCTCTCATTACTTGCACTAATGCATCAGCGAGAGGGCAGAATAAAAGTAATTAATTCAGCTTTTCGGCGCCATATCACCAACTGAAATGAATCAAATATTCACCAACTAGTGATACTTTATTTCCCTTCATTTCTATTCTCAATTTTTCACGTTTAAAAGGTTACATTAATGGTATTTCAATTCTTTCACCTCCATAGTACGCACCACGGAATAATTGTGGGACGCGTGCTTTTAATTTTGAACAACTGCACTTCCGTTTCTAACAATGCCATACGATCGCTTTCTCCTTCTGAACATTGAGTTACGTTGACTTAATTGAGATCTGTTCTGAACATTGAGTTACGTTGACTTAATTGAGATCTGTTCTGAACATTGAGTTACGTTGACTTAATTGAGATCTGTTCTGAACATTGATTTAGAAGATTGACTTTATTGCGATCTTTGAAAACATAAGTTTTATTTTTTAAATGTAAATGTTCTGTTGTTTATTATTGTGTTGTCTGTTGAAGAAGGCATCTTGCCAAACTTTCCTCTTAATTGTCTTGTCTGTTAACTGACATATTTTAGGAACAATTTCTCTTTTTTTACGGCCATACTATAGTTTTTTTTTAAAGTTTTTTTTTACTAATATGTCACATGCCATCTTATGTCAGTTGTTTACGGACTGTCCCTTAGTTTATATTGATTGATAAGATCTACATTTGTATTCATATGAAGATGGTCTGTTTATCTGTACGTTTGAAGATGGCCTGTTTATCTGTACGTTTGAAGATGACCTGTTTATCTGTACGTTTGAAGATGGCCTGTTTATCTGTACGTTTGAAGATGGCCTGTTTATCTGTACGTTTGAAGATGGCCTGTTTATCTGTACGTTTGAAGATGGCCTGTTTATCTGTACGTTTGAAGATGGCCTGTTTATCTGTACGTTTGAAGATGGCCTGTTTATCTGTACGTTTGAAGATGGCCTGTTTATCTGTACGTTTGAAGATGGCCTGTTTATCTGTACGTGCCTTTGTTTTCTTGATCAAAGCAGACAGTATTTCCGCATCGGAAAAAAAGAAATATTATAAAAAAAAGACCAACTTTTCATTATAAGCAAGGAGAAAAAAAATATTTTCACAAAAATATGGCAGAATATTTGAATCATTACCCATTGAAATAGTAAAAATTACAATGTTACAAAATAATTTTTTTAAATGTTCCTGTCTATGTTGGATATCCTATAACTTGCCTTTGAAACAAATAAGATCACGCTGACGTGACATAATGATTAATGCCAAGACTGGAGATAAAAAGTTTGCTTTTAAAGATCACGTGATTTCCGGACGTGAACAGTAAGACTGGGTGTAGATTTGTGCAGCAAGGGGGCGCCCCTCGTACAAACCGGAGAGGTGGGGTAAGGGGTGGAGCTCACTCTGAGATATTACGTGTTGACTTACTAAACAGAGCTCTTCACATCATGGTCACCTCTTGGGCGTGGAGAGTTCTTTGGCACGGGGAGAGAACTCGCATCTCTTGGGAAGTTCAAACAGAGTTCTCGGACAATGTGTGCTTGAGTCTTGGGTGAATAAATATCTCGACAAAGCGATGACTTCTGGCTTGAGTAAGTATTTGTAGAGATGATTCGTTGCTTGGCTCGATCAGCCTTCAATAAACATCATATTCTAGACCATAAAATACTTATCGACCATTTTTTCTAAAGTCCTAAACCTCTGCATAGATACGTGCAGTGAATTTATAAATAATCTAAAGTTCCAAAGATAACATGAAGCACAAGGTATATGAAATATATTTTTGTTAAACGGCTAACGGACAATTGAAAATTTAAGGCGAGATTTTAAAAAAAAAAATAAATAATAGCAAAACAAATATTCTCCTATAGAGATAGCATGTTCTTGCACTACGTTTGAAAAAATAACTAAGTGCTAAAAGTAAAGCCGTGCATTGTCGGCTTAAAAAAACTAAAATTACACGTTTTAAGATGAAGTTACATTTTTTTTTAAAAATAGTATTTAGTTTCAAAATCACGCTAAACAAGAATTGTTTCGTACGTACAAAACTGTAGGCCAGTCTAATTTTCATACAAACCCGCAAGAACAAACCTTCCAAACGAACCCTCTTAAAAAAGACCCATCGAAACAAACCCTCCTAACAAACACTTCAAACAAACCCTCCTCACAAACACTTCAGACAAACCCTCCTCACAAACACTTCAAACAAACCCTCCTCACAAACACTTCAGACAAACCCTCCTCACAAACACTTAAAAAAACCTCCTCACAAACACTTCAGACAAACCCTCCTCACAAACACTTAAAACAAACCCTCCTCACAAACACTTCAGACAAACCATCCTCACAAACACTTAAAACAAACCCTCCTCACAAATACTTCAGACAAACCCTCCTCACAAACACTTAAAACAAACCCTCCTCACAAACACTTCAGACAAACCCTCCTCACAAACACTTAAAACAAACCCTCCTCACAAACACTTCAGACAAACCATCCTCACAAACACTTCAGACAAACCCTCCTCATAACCACTTCAAACAAACCCTCCTCATAACCACTTCAAACAAACCCTCCTCATAACCACTTCAAACAAACCCTCCTCATAACCACTTCAAACAAACCCTACTCATAACCACTTCAAACAAACCCTCCTCATAACCACTTCAAACAAACCCTCCTCATAACCACTTCAAACAAACCCTCCTCATAACCACTTCAAACAAACCCTCCTCATAACCACTTCAAACAAACCCTCCTCATAACCACTTCAAACAAACCCTCCTCATAACCACTTCAGACAAACCCTCCTCACAAACACTTCAAACAAACCCTCCTCATAACCACTTCAAACAAACCCTCCTCATAACCATTTCAAATAAACCCTCCTCATAACCACTTCAAACAAACCCTCCTCATAACCACTTCAAACAAACCCTCCTCATAACCACTTCAAACAAAGCCTCCTCATAACCACTTCAAACAAACCCTCCTCACAAACACTTCAAACTAACCCTTAAAAAACCCTACTAACAAACCTTACAAACGGCCATTATCAGAAGTGTCTTATGTTCTGTGGTGTGTCCTCTTAAAATATAAGGAAATTGGTTAATTATTATCAATTTTCCTATATTTAAGAGGATAATAATTGTATTTAAAACAGTTAAATCTAGCCGTAGCCCGCCCAAAGATGGCGGCGGCAGTGCGTGCACTTCCCATCTACTGAAGTGACTTGACAAAAACATGCATTTGAGAAACACTCTTTATCAGAATACTAAAGAAGGACACCCCCCCCCCACCCCCGTAAGGGTTGGTAAACCCACGCATCTTTAACGTCCTTGAACTATATTCATATTCTAATGTCCCACTCCCTCTTCTACCGCAGATTAAAGGCTGCATATTTAAATTTGA